ATCCACGATCGTACGGGACGATCCACTGCATACTTAATTGAAAACTTGCAATTTTTGAGCAGTTTTTCTTATCTTTTGTATATATAATTCAAATTAGACTACCACCCTATCTTTTTGCTCATTGATCTTCGTGCCTATTGGAAGAAGAGTAAAGGAGAGAGTGAGAGAGAGCATTCAAAGAAGGATTTCTACCACTGGAGCGTGAAGGCTTCGCTTGGGGTTCAAAGGTAAGATTTCCTACTTGTGATTTGAGATTTATTCACTCTTTTTCTTTCTTCCTTCTAGATTTCTTGTGAAGAGATATGTCAAGGCGATCCGGTTCTCTGCTGACGCTTGGAGAGTGTGAATAGACAAAGGATTCTCTGCCCACACAAGGAGAGTGTGAAAGTACGAAGGGTTCTCTGCCCATACTACGAGAGTGTAAAAGGACGAAAGGTACTCTGCCCACACTAGAAGAGTGTGAAAGGTCGAAGGGTTCTCTGCCCACACTAGGAGAGTGTGAAAGGATGACGGTTTTCTGCCGCACCGGGTAGCGGTGAAAAGAGTGTTTTGTAAAGGCTTCTCCGCCTTGCTTTGGGTGCAAAAGGAGAGACACTATTGGTATTAGTGCAATACTCAGAGAATGCCTCTGGGGAGTAGAAGTATGTCTGGTTTAGATTGAACCACTATAAATCTTGTGTCGTTTATTTCACTGCTTTTTATTTTCTACATTTTTTTATTTAAAAAGTTGTGGTTGAAAAAACTTTTTATAAAAATTTATTAAAGTTTATTTTCGGTTCAACTCATTTAAAAGAGGGATAATTTTTTAAAATACCAATTCACCCCCCTCTTAGTAGCCTTGGGACATTAACTTAGGTTTAACAACTTATTCACTAGACTCAACAAAGTCCCTCACCTCCGTCGGACCACTGCTTGTCATCGTTGCTCCGCCGTACCACCACTTAAAGCTCTGGTGCTCCACTAGGCCACCACCTAAGGCCTTGACTTCAGCCAGAACACCATCTAAGGCCCAGAATTCTGTCGGACCGCCACTTAAGGACCTGAGCTCCACTAGACCACCACTTGAGGCCCTCACCTCTGTCGGACCACCGCCTGACGTCATTGTTCTGCCGGACCACCACTTGAAGCTCTAAGCTTCGCCAGACCACCACTTCAGGCCCTCACCTCCGCCTGACCACCGTCAAATGTCGTTGCTCCGCCGAACCACCACTTTAAGTCCCGAGCTCCGTCGGATCGTCACTTGAGTCCCTCAGCTCTCTCGGACCACCACTTGAGGTCCTGAGCTCTGTCGGACCACCACCTGAGGTCCAGATTTCTACCGAACCACCACTCGAGGCCCAAACTTCTACTGGGTCACCACCTGACGCCTAGAGTTCTAGCAGAGTACCACCCTACTACAACAGTCTTTCAAACCCCGATCTCCTGCTGACTACGATCTTTCCAACCTCCGTCACCTACTATGGTCATTCCAACCTCCATCACTAGAAAATGGTCGTTCAGACCCTGGTCTCCCGCCAATTATGATCTTTCAGACTCTTGTCTCCTACTGACTACGGTCCATCCGACCTCTGTCGCCTACTATGTTCGTTCGGACCTCCATAATCAGACAACAGTCTTCCTAACCCAGGTCTCCTGCCAACTATGATCTTTCCGACCTCTATCTTATCAACTATGGTCCTGCTGACTAAACAAACATGTTTATGTTGATTATTGTAACTCCCATCATGTAATGCGTTCTATATGATGTACATTAATAATGAATTTTAGAGTATAATTGATAGAGCATGAAGCCTATTGTTAGCTAATATTAACTTAAAATTATCCCCTAAGATAAATATCTAACAATGGTTTACAAGATCTTCGTGGATGATGCAATCTATGACAATCAAGAAGGATCCTTCGATGTTGTTCAGTCGATTGTCTCATTAACAGAGTACATTATGGTTCATGATAACTATGATGATAGAATCATGAGATCGTGAGTTTGTCATCATTCTTGCAACTTTTATTTAATCCAAAAGCAATTGATCCTCTCAAGTGTAAAACAAAAAAAATCCTACTATCATGTATTAAGCACTTAGTTCCCGTCAACCAGCTTTTTGAAAAATTTCTCTCATTATTAGGATGGTAAGCAATGATAGGGGTTTGCATTAATGATAAAATTGGAACTAGATTTTCATATTCTCTAGAATGAGGGCAAATTTTTTTGGTTGTATCTTATATGTAATCCAATTTGTCTTCTAAAAATTTGATCCAGAACAAACTCTGACAAAAGAGCCATGAATGAACTTGAAATGGAAATAACCTGTAATAAATAAAATGAAAGCTAACAAGGTGTTGTACCATAATGGATGAAAGCTGACAAGGTGTTGTACCATAATGGATGCTTAAGTTGTAGAGACAGTGATTTTTTTTTTCAGGAATTTTACTTTGTAATTTATTAATAATTCCTGATAAGAAATTATAAGCATATCAAACATAATTTTAAAATCTTTGAACATAAACAAAATAAAAATAGAATAAGCAGACAATAAAAGCAACCCTTAAGTTGATGATACATAATATTAGTAACACATTAAAAACTTGATGGATTTTATTTTTCACTTCTGCAAATTTGAATGATCTCAAGGAGTTGTTCACATCAATGATCACACATTCTCAAACTGAATTATGTTAAAAAAAATAACATATATATCATTCTAATTTTATTTATTTTGCACACCAACACCCAAGTAAAAATAATAAACTTACAAAATCATAACTTTATATGTGCCATGAATAAATAATTGAAACTTTAATATAAACAAAAAACATAGATTATAATTTTATTGTGCTCATCAAAATTTGAATACTATTATTATAAATGATAGTTAAATACCAATTTTATAAATCAATTCAGGAGTAACATCTTAAAAGAGCAAATCAAGCCACAAGAATCTTGTGTGATTAATATTCTCTTAAGTCTTCATCAACAACTATAAAAGCAACATAAATTCAGATAAACTATAAATCATATGAATCATTTGATCTAATTTGAATGATACAACACTTATCACAAGAAAATATACATTGAAGGGAACATTGAGCCCAATAAATCAATAAATAAGCATCCATTAATTCCAAAACGAGACGACTTTCTTACTACTTAAAACAGCTTCTTAATATAAAAATTTTAATTTTTTACTAAAAAACTATTTTAATAAACAATAAAAAAAACTATCCCAAATGAAACCTAAAACTTCATTTGAGATGCTTTTCTTATTAATTTTTAAAACAACTTTCTAATTAAAGATTTTCAAGTTCAAAATTTTTTTATACTAAAATGATACTTTAAAAAACAATAAGAAAAATGTCACAAACAAAACCTAAATAAGCACATAAAAAAATTATTCTTCATATTCCACTTTTAATAAAAGAGTTAAGTTTTGCTTTCATGCAGATTCCTGCCAAGTAAATTTTAAATCACATAATGGATTCATTCTCTCTTGATGACTCTTTCATGTCTGATTAATGTATGTAAACAGTACTAAAGCTATTCATCAAGAATAAAAAATGGAAAAGTGCACATCAAGATTACTGCCACATAATACCAAAGAAGATATAGCATCACGTTTGCTCGTGCTCAACAATTTGCCCTAAAATTAAAACATAATAGTTAGCCAGAGTAGCAGTATAACCACCACAATTTGGTAAATAAGCATACAACCTGCATTTTCTATACAAATTTTGATGTTCAAATCTAGCATTTAGTTCCTAGCAAAAAGCTTTTCTTAAGAAATAAACGTACAATCCTTTAGCAATGTGAATGCATGATATATTTGTCTATGGCTCAGAATTTTTCCCAAACAGAACAAAATAACATATTCTTCAATGCCATTTAAAACCCCATTTTTCCAACAAAATAAACATAATGGAAATTGCTTTTCTTTTTTTTTTTTTTTTTTTTTCCCGGGGAAAAAACCGACTCTCAGGAGTAAATACGCATCTGTAGTCAAATTTCAGAGGGAATAGAATTTCTGGCTCAGAGTTGGTTAATGGCCTTCTTTGTCCGGATGAGCATTTTCAAATTTTGTTTAATGGAGAATGTTCTGAGCTGTTACTCGCACATACCTTCTTTGATGATGGCCTTCGAACTTGTTCCTTAGCTACTCTCTTCTTCGCATGTGGCAAAGATTCAGGAGAAAGGAGGTCTGAAGCTGGATCAGGTTCTTCAATGTCAACATCTTCGTGAATTGGTGGAGCAGCCCAAGATAGAGGGAATGCTGAATAATATAAAACCAGTCAGACTATCTTTTTTTACCAAAAGTAATTTGCTTTAAATTATTCTCAATGAACAATTATTAAATAATTGTGAGAAAACGATTGACTTTAGTGACTTTTAGCATCCTAAATGAAATAATTTTTTTTTTGTTTTTATTGATTTATTAGTAAAACTGAAGTTAAAGAGGCTTCAAAGAAAATAAAGCGCGGAAAAGTTGTTGGACCTGATGATATTCTAATAAATGTATAAAAATGCTTAGGTGATGAAGGAATTTCTTGGCTTACTAAACTTTTTAATATTATTTTGAAAACTAAAAAGATGCTAGATGAGTGTAGAATTAGTGTGTCAATTCCTATTTTTAAAAATAAAGATGATGCACAAGATTGTGCAAATTATAGAGAAATTAAGTTAATGTGTCACACTTTAAAACTATGGGCGAGAGTTATGGAGCATAGGTTCCGGTGTGACACTAATGTTTCTCAAAATCAATTTGGATTCATGCAAGATAGGTCTACTATGGAAGCTATAAATTAATTGATAGGCTTGATGAAGAAGTATAGAAAGAATAAGGAGGATCTACGTATGATTTTTATTGATTCAGAGAAAGCATATGATAAAGTTTCAAGAGAAATGCTATGGAGACTTCTACATAAGAAAGAGGATAATAATGCTTTTATTCAAGTCATTAAGGATGTATATGTAGGAGTTGTTAATTGTGTTCAAACACAAGGTGCTTTGACCAAGTATTTTCCTATTTCAGTTGGATTACATCAAAGATCAACCTTAAGCCCATATCTTCTTGCTTTAGTCATGGATGTTCTCACTAGACATTTGCAAGAGGTTGTACCCATGTTATGCTTTTTGTTGATGATATTCTTCTTGTTGATAAGACTAGAGAGGGAATTTAAGGTATACTTGAATTATGGAGGTCAACCTTAGAGTCTAAATGCTTTTGTTTGAATATATCTAAAACTGAATATTGGAGTGTAGTTTTAGTAATAATAGATCTAGTGGGGGGATTATGACTTTGGGTGATCAAGTTATTAATAAGAGCAGGTTTTAGAAATCTTGGGTCTATTATTCAGAGTGATGGTGAAATAGATAGTGAAATTATTAGTATAATTCAAATAGGATGGTTGAAGGGGAGGAATGCATCGGGCTTGTTGTGTTATAGAAAAGTCCCTCTCAAACTTAAGGGAAAATTCTATAAGATGGTAGTGAGACTTGCAATGCTTCATGGTGCAGAATGTTGGCCATTAAAAGAGAGGCATAATATTAAGTTAAGTATTGCAGAGATGAGAATGCTCAGGTGGATGAGTGGCTTTACTCTTAGAGATAAGATACGAAATGAGCATATACATGAAAAGGTTAGAGTAGCTCCAGTGGAATATAAGATTAAAGAAAGTCGCCTTAGATGGTTTGGTCACATAAAACAACAGCCTTTTGATGACCCGATTAGAAAAGTAAAAGCATTAGATTTGACCTATGTTAAGAAAGGAAGAGGTAGACCTAAAAAATTTGGTTAGAAAATATTAAAAATGACATTTCTTTATTAGATTTAGATGAGAATTTGACTCTTGACATGACACAATGGAGAAAAAGAATTCATGTAGCGGACCCCATAGTGGGATAAAGGCTTGTTGTTGTTGAATATTTATTAAAATAATAATAATAATAATAATAATAATAATAATAATGCTGATAAAGATCAAAAAGAAGTTAAATGTGGTAATGTATCTATGCGGTTTTATTTATGACATAAAAGGACAAGAATTTCAAACAGACGTTGCATCCATGAAAATTCAGTTAAGGGGAAAACATTGTCCCTTTCTATGCTTTTATCATTCTCGATTAAAATGAAATTGAAATGAAAATATAATTATCTTAATTTAGGTTGAATAACTAAAACAGTAATCGGAAATTCATTAGTGTAATATAAGCCTTGGGATGCAGTTTAAACTGGTTCACAATTTCATAACAAAAGATGATAGAACTTCAAAATTTATGATTAATAAAATTCACAAAATATGTTTATGGTAGATTCATTTTATTTTTCTTGATCTTCGTTCCCCATAAACATTATCTACATGTCGTTCCTATCTTTTCATTACGAAGATCATGATTTTAACTAGAAAATCATGATCTTAACTATAAAAATACTATTTATACACTTTTGAAAATAAGCGATTCAGCAATATTTCAATAGTTCATAGATGATGGGGCTAAAGTCTAGATAATCAATAATGATGGAAAAATTTGGCACAGTTGACTATTAATACATGGAAAAATAGGTAAACCACGCAATTTTTGAAAAGGCATTGAATTGTTTATAGAATCGGAACGGTAAGAGCCATGCATACAACGGAGGTTAATAAATACTTCCTAGTTAAAATCACGACAAAACAATCGTCAGAAAAGCTTGTCAGCAATTGAATTTCAAGTTGCCTACTCTAATAACTAGAGGTATGGGTGTAACAAAAAAAGCAACGCTTTGGTTAAGATGCGTTACTGTGCCAAACAGCAATCTATTTGATAACAAAAAGCTTGTTCGTATGAGAACAAAAGATTGTCCCGTACTGGGAGCTTTATAGTCACATAGGCAGTTGTAATAATTACGTTCCATCTTTTACATACCTTCAACAGGTTCAGGAAGTCCTGGTAATCCCAAACCAGAACCATCACTAGCATTCAACAAGCGTGCAGTTCGTTTCTTTACATAATTCTCTTGGAGAGGTTTTGGGATCTGAAATGAAAATTGTGATATGTTCACCCCATTTTCAGCACATTCTAGATGTTCTTCCAGGTATCTGCAAAATAAAACTCAGTAGTTATTGCAAAACAAATTAAAATATTAGAAATAGGAGGTTAAAAAAAACAGAATATGATTAATAATATATTACGAGGAACTTTTCAATCATAGATGACATGCTAAAGGCCACATTTCATCAGGATTTCATTTCACTAGAGACTATGATCACTTCAGAGATACCTTTGGATCTCAACCATTGAGCGCAGTTTCTTTCCTGATGGTGCAACATAATACCTGAAAATCTCAGAACAGCAGAAATCATGTCAGCGTATTTGTTTTCAAATCAAAATATATTCACAACATAAATAGAAGTAAAGAATTTCAGACAATACTTTCGTTGCAGTGAATCAATGATATTTTCATTTAAACAAAGATTTCCTCTTGGAAAATGTGAACTTGTTTGTTATGAAGCATGTTTGATCAGGAATACAAAAAAAGGAATGAATATAAATAGAATTATGGAAAGACGTGAAGAAAAATATAAACAATAACTTGAAAAGCATTGCAATGATATTTTAGAAAGTTAAAAATTTCCCACCGCCAGTTCAAAGCTTCAATGGTTCACCATTACAAGATTATGAAGGGAAAAATATTATTAGAGAAAGCAGCTACATCCGAAATGGCAAAGCAAAGGAGTACCGAAAAAAGTTTAAAGCATATAATAGAAGATTGAAGACATGGTTGCATGAGAATTATCACTTGTCCAAAACTCAACAACAACCCAAAAGAAATTCGGCACCTATATAGCAAGATTTTTGTATTCAAAATAAAGAAGAGAAAAACCAAAAATAGTCCACCAACTATCAGTAAGTGGCCTATTCAGTTCAAGAATATCAGTGTTCCAATTTGGTTCCTCCACTATTGAAAATTGATCCAAAATGATACCCTATTAAATTCACTATTAATTGTAGAGAGAGTCAGTGAAAATTTGGTAGTCATTTTTTATGAGAGTACAACACCAACAACAACATCAAGCCTTTATCCCACTACACGGGGTCAACTAAATGAATCCTTTTACTCCATTGTGTCATGTTAAGAGTCAAATTCTCATTTAAATATAATAAAGAAACGTCAACAACACAACACAACAACATCAAGCCTTTATCCCACTACGTGGGAATAAAGAAATGTCATTTCTAATATTTTCTAACCAAGTCTTTTTAGGTCTACCTCTACTTTTCTTAACATAGGACAAATCTAATACATCTACACTCTCCTAACAGGGTCATCAGAAGGCCAACATTTTACATGACAAAACCATCTAAGGCGACTCTCTCTAATCTTATCTATCATTATAATTACTCGAACCTTTTCCCGGATATGCTTGTTTCGTATCCTGTCTCTAAGAGTAAGTCCACTCATCCACCTGAGAATCCTCATCTCAACAACACTTAACTTAATATTATGCTTCTCTTTTAATGGCCAACATGCTGCGCCATAAAGCATTGCAGGTCTCACCACCATTTTATTAAATTTTTCCGTAAGATTGCGTGGTACTTTTCTATCACACCACAAACCCGAAGCATTCCTCAATTTCAACCATCCAACTTGAATTCTACTAATAACATCCCCATCTATTTCAACATCACTCTGAACAATAGATCCAAGATATCTAAAACGAGTACACTTATTAATGTCTTGATCAATCAAAGTCACAAACCCCCACTAGATCTATTACTACTAAAATTACACTCAATGTATTCAGTTTTAAATCTACTCAAACGAAAACTTTTAGACTCTAAGGTTGACCTGCATAATTTGAGTTTACCTTCAACTCGCTCTCTAGCCTTATCAACAAGAAGAATATCATCAGCAAAAAGCATACTCCAAGGTACGTCCTCTCACAAATGTCTAGTGAGAAAATCCATGACTAAAGAAAAAAGATAAGGGCTTAAGGTTGATCCTTGATTTAATCCAACTGAAATAGGAAAATACTTGGTCAAACCACCTTGCGTTTGAATACAAGTAACAGCTCCTGCATACATATCCCTAATGACTTGAATATAAGCATTATTAACCCATTTCTATTCTAGAACTCTCCATAACACTTCTTTTGGAACTTTATCATATGTTTTCTCTAAATCAATAAATATCATATGATATTCCTTAGTCTATCTAAACTTCCCCATCAACGCTCTCAATAAATGAATAGCTTCCATAGTAGACCTACCCAGCATGAATCCAAATTGATTTTGAGAAACATTAATATCACATCGTAACCTATGCTCCATAACTCTCTCCCAAAGTTTTAAAGTATGACACATCAACTTAATTCCTCTATAATTCGCACAATTAAGTACATCACCTTTATTCTTAAAAATAAGAATTAACACACTTATTCTCCACTCATATGTCATCTTTTTAGTCTTCAAAATAATATTAAAAAGTTTAGTAAGCCAAGAAATTCCTTCATCTCCTAAGCATTTTCACACCTCTATTGGAATATCATCAGGTCCACTAGTTTTTCCACACTTCATTTTCTTTAAAGCCTCTCTAACTTCAGTTTTCCTAATACGCCAATAAAAATAAAAATCTTTGTTTTCATTGAGAGTGTTGAGGTCACTAAAGTCAATCGTATTCTTACAATCTTCATTGAAAAGCTTAACAAAATATCTCATCCACCTTTGTTGAATATCCTCTTCTAAAAAAAACACTTTTTGATCTTTAACCTTAATGCACTTCACTTGAACTAAATTCTTACTACTTCTATCTCTTTGTTTGGCTAGCTTATACATATACCTTTCGACCTCTTTAGTATCTAATATATTATATAAATCATTAAAAGCTAAAGTCTTTGCATCGCAGATTGCTTTCTTAGACTCCTTACGGGCAACTTTATATCTTTCACATTTTTCAGAGTTTGTACATCTAAATCAATTATTATAACAAAGCTTTTTATTTTTAATCTTTTCTTGCACATTTGATTCGACCACCAATTATTTTTATTATTAGAATTTTTTCCTTTTGAAACTCTAAGCACGTCCTTTACAACATTCTTAATATTACTAGCAACTTTATCCCACATAACATTCACTTCCTCAAACAAAAACAAAATCTTAAGATCTCGAAACTTATTCTCAAAAATATTTTTATTAGTATTTTTTAAAAGCCCCCGTCTAATCTTAGAACAACGTTTTATTAATTTTTTTATATTATTCCCCTTCATCTTAAAATCAAAACTAATAAGCGATGTTGGGTACATAAACTCTCACTCTGAATAACTTTATAATCTTTGCAATCTAAACAATCTATTTTTCTTATAAGAATATAATCAATCTGAGTTTTATTATATCCATTCTTATAAGTGATGAAATGCTTATCTCTTTTTTTAAACAAAGTATTAGCAATTACAAAATCATAAATTATAGCAAAATTTAATATAATCTTACCACCTTCATTACTCACTCCAAAATCATAGCCACCATGAATACTTTTAAAATCCTCTATCTCTCTACCAACATGTCCATTTAAATCTCCTCCAATAAAAATTTTTTCTTCAAGAGGAATCTTTTGAATTAATTCTTCTAAAGCATTCCAAAATTTTAATTCTAAACACATTTACAAACCTATTAGAGGAGCATAAACACTTATAATATTAATAATCTTAGCATCAAAAATAATCTTCAAAGCATAATTATGCATCTATATCTATTAATTTTTATAACCCTATCCTTCAAACTCTTATCTATAATCACACCTACACCATTTTTAGTACGACTTCTATCAGAATATCAAACTTAAATCCTAAACTATCAATCTCCTTAGCCTTCTTTCCAACCCATTTAGTTTCCTGAATGCATAAAAAATTTATCTTCCTATGAATCATAATATCAATTAATTCTATTAATTTACCTGTAAGAGAACCTACATTCCATGATCCAATCCGAATTCTAGTTTCATGGACTAGCTTCTTTTCCCACATCCGTCCATGATGTGGGAACCCTTGCCTATTTAACACTGCACCCGGGCACCGATGTAGCGATCCTTGAACACCTCTCAATGTATTCAGGCCATACAGTGTGTCGCTTCCAGGAAACGTCAAAGTATTACTACAATGTATTAAAGGATTCATGTCATGGTTATTCGACAAATTTTATGCCAGCTGTCGACTACCTAAAGCAACCCTCCACTTTTCTCATCCAGGACTTAGGACATAACAATGGAAGTGTTATATTTTTTAAGGAGAATATTTCAGTAAAATCTAAAATTTTGAATTATTATTCCTTCTGAAATACTACAAAAAATTAAATTTCGTTTCTCCTCCATTTTGCTCAAGTACTGGACTAAGAAAATCCCTTCATTAGGCAGATTTAACAAATCCGCAAATTTTACAAACTCCTCTTCTTCACACATCACTACCACCGTCGATGCCTTCTCCAGCGAGCTCTTATCACAACTTCCTAGCTTCTTCATGTTTAGGGTTTCGATCCTCTTCTTCTTCACATGTTGATGATAACATCAATGTCTTCTCCAAAGAGCACCCCTAATAACTTCCTACTTCTTTGACAAGGTTTCTGCAATTTGGAGGTGTTATTTGGGAAAGAACGATGAGGATTTCGAATTTTAAAACCTACCCCACCCCTTTAATAAATGAAATTTTCATGCAATGTAAAGGTGCGATACACCGAGAAATATTCCATACAACTTATTAAATGTATTGTTAAAACCTGAAAATTGAAGTTATACTTTCTTGATGTTCATTCATGATTAATTACTTTTAAGCATTTTTATCTTCACTTTTGGAAAACAAAATCTTGCATTTGCATTTCATTATTGCATAAGAATCTTTTTTTTCTTTTACATATTTATTTTTGCACAAAAAGTTTTTAAAAAAATATACATTAGTGGTTTGTATATGTGTAAGACTAAAAGGTCTTTTTAAGAAGATTTGGACTATCTAATAAGAGCTTGGAATGTAAGTGGTCCATTATAACCCCCTCCTCACCGGGAAGCTTTACAGTCAAGCATTGTCAAAATCAATAATTTTTTTATTTCATCGTTCCTTCTTTGTATTTTCATATTTTAAAAACACTTCACTTATTGTGTTTGCAATCATAATTTCTCTTTACATCACAATATAAACCCTACACCAAGCTAAAATTTAAAACTATTTCAGTTGATGATTTATATAACAGAAATAAATTTTTAGATTGGTTCAAATAATTGCACAATTTTTTATATTGGAAAATCATTGATGATTATCTAACTAGATTCTAAAATTTAAAAATGGTAGG